CCATGGTTTGGCTCCAGGGATGGGGGTCAAGCTCCATGTTCTAGCTCCAAGGACAGGGGCCAATCTCCATGGTCTATCTCCAGAATGGGACCAAACTCCATGGTCTGGCTCCAGGGATGGGGGTTGAGCTTCATGGTCTAGCTCCAGAATGGGACCAAGCTCCATGGGGTCACACTCCATGGTCTATCTCCAGGATATATCAAGCTCCATGTTCTAGCTCCAGGGATGGGAGTTGAGCCCCATAGTCTATCTCCAGGATGGAGCCACGCTCCATGTTCTAGATCCAGGGATGGGGGCTGAGCTCTGTCTCCAGGATTGGGCCAAGCTCCATGTTCTAGCTCCAGAGACAAGAGTCAAGCTCCATGGTCTGTCTCCAGGATGGGGCCAAGCTCCATGTTCTAACTCCAGGGACAGGAGTTGAGCTCCATGGTCTATCTCCAGGATGGGGCCAAGCTTCATATTCTCATGATGGGAGCTGAGCTCTAGCTTCAGAGATGAGTCTGAGCTCCATAGTTTAACTCCAGTCTCTCTTCTCAAGGAGCCTCTGGTTCTGGCACCCAGCCTCCAGCTTCCCCCAACTCACACTCTCTTCTCTAGCCAGGCCATCTTGCTTCCTGCCCCTGCCAGCTCACACTCATCTCTGCTTTTTGTTTATTTATACAGTTCCCTCTGGCTGAAATTCTCTCCTCTTGCCCCAGATCTGCTCAAAGTCTTCCTCCCTAGGAAGCCTTCCCTGGGTGCTCCAGCCCAGACTGTGCTGGGCTCCTCTGATCTCTGGGAGCAGCAATACCAGCACTTGCCTGTTCATTCCTGGAACCAGCAGGAGAAGCCCCCCTGCACTGTGTCCTCAGGCCCCCCTCAGGTCTTCAGGAGGGAGAAGAGTCCCTGGATCCCAAGCACATAGGGATGAGAGGTGGAGGAGAACTAGCAGCTCTGGGAGGGTTATCCTGCTAAACTTGGGACTCACTCAATCATCAGGAAAGGTGGTTGGCTGGGGCCCCTGGAAGGAACTACCCACATCTGCCAGAGCTCTGGGCCCACTAATCTTATCCAACTGCTCTCCTAGCAAAGGCACCCTCTGAACCACAGCATTACCCTAGAAATGCCATTTGGGGCTATACCTCCTTTTTCAGGGGCCCCTAGAATCAGAGCCTGTCAGAGTGGGAAAGGACACTGTAGGTCAGTGGGCATGGCTCCTTTGTTTTCTCAAGAAGGACTGGAAGGCCAATGTAACAGAGGTGATGTGTCCTCCAATGCCAGCCTGGCCCTACCCTTTCTGATCTGGTCTCCTAAAAGAGACTTCTACCTGGCATCCTTGCCTCCTGGGACTCATCTGGCTAAATACCACTCCCAGAGGATCACTGCTTGACTCTTGAATGGACAGTGGCTCCCTATGGCTCATCAGATCAAGTCCCCATTCCCTTACCTAGCTGTAGGAGGGTTCCAGGAACTGTTGGAGGGGAAGGGGCAGATGGGAGATTACTTAGACTATGGAAACATGGTCATTGAGGAAGGGAGAGGGAGAGGAGTCGGGGGAAAGAAGCCAAGGGAGGGGAGGATGGACAGCAGGGAATAAGTCCAGGGAGATGGCAAGAGACAGAAGGAGAGGAGGGCAGTTCTGGCTGGAGGTTCTGGTGACCCCTTAGCTCCAGGTCTCCTATCCAAAGCAGAATTGGTTATGTTCTCCCTGGACCACTGGCTTCCAAAAGTCTCCTTTTCTCTTGTGGGTACCATCATCTCACAGCCTTGGAGTTATCCTTATTTCTTTTCTCTCTGTCATTTCTCATCTCCAGGCCTTTGCCCAATCTTGCTGACCCAACCTCCACAGTGTCTCTTGTATCCAACACCTTCTCTCCACTCCTAGGGCCACCAACCTCCATCAGCCCATCACCCCTCACCTGGGCTGGTCTAATAATTTCCTGCTCCTCCAAAGCATTCCTGGGCTCAAAGTGCTGTAAGGGATCCCTACTGCCTCCAGGACCAAATACAGGCTGTGTTCTTTGGCCCTTAGAGTCCTCCACCGTCTGGATCCAGCTGTTCTTTCTAGTACATGGTAAGCACTTAATAGAGCTTTCCTTCCCTTCCTCCCTCCTTTCCTTCCTTCCTTCCTTCCTTCCTTCCTTCCTTCCAATTAGGACAAGGACCTTAGGGAGAGTACATACTCTCTCCCTCCTTAAATTACCCAGCATCCACTCATCTTTGTACATGAATGAATCCCCCTGAAGGACAAGGACTAGTTCACTGCTGCCTGTGTTTCCCCAGGGCCAAGCACAACCTCACACACAGTAGGAGCTGGATAAATGTTGGCCGAAGAGGGAAGAGTGGAAGGACAGGATGGGGAGGGGAGGAGAGAAGGCCCAGCACCAGAGTTCCCCCTCCCAGTCAGATAGAAGAAAGAAACAGTCCAGCCCTCCTTGGGGTTGGGCCAGCTCTGCCCCCTTCTGAAATGTGGATAATGCCATGGTGGGATGACATCAGAGGAAAGTCACATATATCCACAAGAAACAGGAATGTGGAGCTTAGGCTCAGGACACAACCATGTGGAAAGGAGACACTGGCCAACGGGCCGTCCTGAAACAAAAGGCAGTCACTGGGGCGTTAGCTGGAGGCTGGCAGCATGTTCTGGGCCCGGCGTCTGCAGGGGGGTGCTGCAAGGCAAACGTCCAGTGGCGTTAATGTGCTGACGTCGGGTTGAGGGGGCTGAAGGGAACAGATCTCCCCCACTATTCTCACTCACCAGGAGGGCCCCAAGGATAGGAACTGAGAAGTCAATGGGACGGATAAAAACCGTTTGCATGCACGCAAGAGGGTAGGTCTGCTAGAACTATCAGAGGGTGGAGTAGGTGGTGGAGGAGGGGTAGCTGGCACCCAGGGAGGGTGACTGATGCTCAAGGGTGGGGCCTGGCCTGAATCCTGGTGCTCAGTGGGGTGGGGGTGGGGAGACCTTGGTGCCAATCCTCTGACTCCCAGGATGGGCCTAGGGACAAAGCTGGCCCACCTCTTGGGGCCTGGCCCAAAGTGCTGGTGGGATGAGTGGTACCCTGAGGGCCAGCGCAGAAGGAGGTGGGAGGAGGTGGGAGTGAGTGTGATGTGGTCCCTTGGAGTGAAGACAGTGCCACTTCTAGTCTGGGCTCTGGCCCCCTTGAGACTTGGGCTGCTTTGGGGAGGGAGGTGCTTGCCTTCATCTGAATTAGGCAGAGTGGCAACAGCTGCCTGTCAGAGTCTGAATCTGAGTCTTAGTGAGGGATGTGAGATGCTGGGAAGGGATGGATTGGAGGCGGGGTAGGGCCCCCGCTGAGGAGGCGGACAGCGTGGCTGCTGGCTCTGGGAGAGGAGAGTCACTCTTCGGGACCTGCAAGAAAGGGGGGAGAAAAGCCACACAATGCGTCCTACAGAGGAGTAGACCAGATCGCAGCTGGAGGGGAGCAAACCTTTTGATCAGGTCCTTGAGATACAAGCTGCAGGAAGCTACCACATTTTGGTGGACTTCAAACACTTTGCCGTCAACAATAATTTTCAGGTCTGTGAACTCTTTCGTTTTCCGCTGCTGGTTCAACTCCTTCAACATTTCTGCAGAACAGAGAAGACAGACAGGCCAGGTCCCATTAAGGTAAGGGGTCGGCGGCTGCATGGGGGGGGCTTTGCTTCTGATTTTTTTGGGGGAGGGGTCAAGAAGTTGAGAAATCAGAAATACTGGACACTGTTTCTTGGCAAGACTGACTCAACACTGACGGTCAAAAGGAGTCACAGACAGAAGGTGTAAGGCAAGCAGCAACAGGAGGAGCCGGAGAGGCGAGGGACCCCCCAGAACCGTCACTTTCAAGAAGCAAAACAACAAACCATTTAAATTTTAAAAGATAAAAAATAAATGAGGTTTCCACACAGATAAACCAGAAACACAGAGGCGTTCATTCTCATAGACAGCTGAGCACACAGCCGCTCCCACTCAACGTGGCAGCGTTTCTCCCACCAGATGGGCATGATTGCAATGGGTTTTGTACCTGGTCAAACATGGCGTGAGGATGCGATGGGGACTGGGGATGGTGCAAAGCCAGGGTGGCTCACAGGTGAGCATGGCAGGGGCCTCTGGCAGCAGCTGGGGATGACCTTTCCCCCATAGCCAAGAGTGCCAGAGCCACCACCACTGGCATCCCTGGGTTTGTGGGATGTTCTGGCTCTCCTGCATCTTCTCCTATTTCTCAAGGGTGCCTGGGGTGTGGAGTTGGGCCCTTTTTGGTTTCTAGCTTAAAGGTATCCTTGCACCTGCAGTTTGAAGGAGTCCTGAAGAACTCTGTAGTGGAGGAGTGGGAACGAGGGAGTGAAGGAGGAGAGGAGTGGGGCAGCAGTACCTACCTTTGTCTGGCATCCACAGCACAGAAAAGCAAAGATTTGCCCGCAGGTCACTGGCCCAGCTGAAGATGTGGCCTGAGTCCCCTCCTGGGGGAGGCTAAGGCAACCCATCTTGGAGGTTTTTCCCCAAACAAGCAGAGAGACCCTGCCTAGGAGAAGGGTGCGAGGGAGGCCAGGCTTCCCCAGGGCAGGTTCAGCCATTGAAGCTTATATTGTAGCAAATGGCCAAAGGCTGAGATGTGGTGGGACCTGTGTCCATAGCCTTGTTCTCTTTCACCTCCCCCACCCCATCAGTCCCCATGGAAGCAGGGTTTGAATGTGACCTTCTCCACCTTCCTCTTCCAGGACAAAGGAGAAACAGCAACAGCAGAGGCAGGTCCTCAGGGTCTCTCACCTGCACTTTGTATCAGCCTCCTAACTGGTCCCTCCTGTCTTTCCCCTCTCTGTTCATCCTCCACAAGCTGCCACGATGAACGCCCTAAGCCACAAATCTCACCTCCTCATCCCCTCCCTCAAATCCTTTGGAAGCTCCCGGAGTGAAGTGACTTGCCCAGGGTCACATGCTAGTGAGTGTCTGAGGCCTCCCAACTCCAGGCTGGTGCTCTATCCTCTGTACCCCCAAGCTGCCCCAGAAGCTCCTCAGCCAGACATTCCTTCTGTACGATGGGAGTGTTGGGCCAGATAACTTCCAGGGTGCTTTTGCCCAAGAGTCTAGGAGTCCTCCTGGCCAGCTTCCCCTGCCCCCCACTCCAAGGTGACCTCCATGCCATTCTCCCATGTGTCGTGCTCCTGGGCTGGTCTGCCTTCCCTCATCCTCTGCTCGGAGATTTCCTCCGCCTATCGAAACCTAACTCATAGTTCAAGGCCCTGCTCCAGGACCACCTCCTCCTTGAAGCCTGCCCTGCTGCTTCTAGCCAGGAGTGATCCTCTAGTCCTCGACCTCCCACTTGGTCCCTCTCTGAGGACTTGGTATCACAATTATTTGTACATGTGTCTCCTTTCCCCTGGCACAACGTGAGCTTTCTCTTCTGTCTCCCTCATAATGACCAGCCCAGGCCCTCACACATAGAAGGTATTCATGGGCACCTGGCTCAGAAACCATTGAGGCCAGGCCTCTCATTTTACAGATGAGGAAATTGAGGCCCAGGGAGGGGAAATGACTTACTTAAGGTCACACTGGGAGCAAGCATCAGGGGTGGGATCTGAACCCAGGCTCCCTGACTCCAGAGCCAGGGCTCTCTGTACCATATTCACTGTATGGCTGCATCCAGAGATGATTAACAATTTATACTGTTCCTAGGCTCTCTGTCTGCTTCTTCAGGACCAGCTGGGCAGCCACTGGGGGATGAACCCTTAGACCAAAGAAAACACAAAACCGCCATTTCCACTTATGGCAGAAGAGAGGGGGAGGGTGCTAGGACTCACCTCTTTTACCCAGCAGTTCTTTCATAGTGAGATCTCTGTCTCTCTTTGGGCTGAGCCATTCTCACTGAAAATGAGACCAAAAGCCCAAAGGAAGTCATGCGCTCCTTCCAAGGAGTGCATCTCACCAGCTCTTCAAGGAGTTGGCCAGGTTGGTTCTGCCTGTGGTCAAAGGCAAGACAACCACTGTGAAGGCATTTTTCTGACCCCTCCAGGTTCCTGAGAAAGCAGGCTGCATGGAAGTGACTTGTCCAGGGCATTCAATGCAAAAACAGACTGCTCAGAAACATGAGAAGAGAGAAGGCTCTAGAAATGGCACCCTCACAAACAGTGAAACTGACTGACTTAACAGAGAGGAAAGGACTGGTCACTCATATTATTCTGTGTGCAGCCTAGCCATCAGTGAGTTAGAGAAAACAGCAAAACCAAGACAAACTAGAAAAAAGGATAATGATGAGAAGAAGAAGATACTGTGAGAAATTACAGACAGTTTCAACCTGGCCAATTCAAACAGGGTTTTCTTGTCCCCAAAAAGGAAATGGATAAAGGAAAAGACATTGATTCTGACCATCACCATTTCCTAGAAAAGTTTAGCTGATATAAAGTATTTGTCACTATGAAGAGGCCAAAGAGTGGAGAAACAGCCATCACTTGACCTTGTTGCCAAGCAGAAAGACATGGCAGCTGATGGAAACACCAGTTTAGCGTGTAAATACTTCGAAAATTTTTAGTAAAATTATTTCAGAAAACAGTGAGAAGTGAAAAAAGGGAACACAAACCTGCAAAGGATGTGCCATTCTATCTAACTGGGGCAAATCATCTTAAGAACAGCTATAGGTGAAACTGGGAGGGCAGAAAGTAGAGGAAAAAAAGAACAGATCTGCCTGGGTATTCTCATCATCAATGATGGTCGAGCCCCTATGTTCTGGTGCTAATACATTGGTTCCAGATGGTATGGAATAGAAGGAAGTAGGTGTATTTTTACCCAACAAGCATTGATTTGGCACCTCCTGTGTGACAGTCACAATGTTCCATCTCCTCTCTCCATCCCTACATCCCTCTTGCCTGCAATGTTCTTCCTTCTCACCTCTTGCTCTTGGAATTCCTAGTTTCACTGAGTCTTCAACACGGGCACTACTTTCTGCAGGATGCTTCTCCTGGTCCCTCCAACCACTAGCAACTTCCTGCAAGGCTCCCTTTTATCTGTTTTTTATTTGTCTGTACCCATAATAGCTGTAGACAAGACAGGTTTTTTTGCACACTGTCTCCCTCATTAGAATATGAACTTCTCGAGAACGGACTCTGGATTTTGTCTTGGTATTTCCTGTGCCTAGCAGCACATTTCAGGAGGTGGAGGGGCATCTAAGAATAGGGAGAGGGTCCCTCTCCTTCTGCCTGGTTAGCCTTCCCCTTAAGGGTCATGTTTAGGTCTGGCACCACCACAGTGGAAGGAAGACCATAGCTCTACACTTGGACCCATCCTCTGCTCAGCTGTCACAGTGAATTTACTTCATGACCAGGTCTGACCAGGTCACCCCCTGTGCAATGAGCTCTGATGGTTACTGTTGCTGCCAAGATCCACACAAAATCCTGTGTGGCATTTAAAGCCCTTCCCAGCCTGGCCCCTTCCTACCTCTCCAGCCTTCTTCCTGGATGGAAGGCAAATCAGAAGGAAAGCACTGGGAGGTGGGGTGGGGTGGGGAAATGGGATATTCAAGCTGAATTTTGAAGGAAGCCAGGACAGTCAGAAGACAGAGGTGAGGAAGGAGCGATAATGGTGTCAATGTTGCTAGGAGCTCAAGAAGCATGAGGACTGAGACCAGGGTGTCAGATTTGGTGATTAAGAGATCATTAGTGACATTGGGGAAAGGAGTTAGACCAGTTTGGTGGGGCCAGATACAAATTGCAGAGGGCTGAGAAGTGAGAGGGAGGAGACGAAGCGGAGGCAAAGAGAGCATGGCTTCTCTAGGAGTTGGTCTGTGGAAGAAGAGACATAGGATGCTGGATTGAGGGGATGGTGGGTCTAGTGAAGGTTGTTAAGGATAGGGAGATGCAAGTGTTGGTAGGCAGCAGAGAAGCAGTTTGTACTCAGGGAGAGACTCAGTGCTGAGGTGAGGGAGAATGATAGAGGTTGCATGCTGCTGGAGAAGAGGGGAGAGGAATGCGTGCAAAGGGTTTGGCCTTGGCAAGGAGAAGGGCCATGTAGAAGGGAGGAAAGGAGAGTGGGGGATGCTGCCGGGTATGACAAGGGGGAGATGGGGCCCTTGGGAGAAGAGAAGAGTCTGTGACAGACGGCCCCTATTTCCCGGGTACAGGAGGAGGTGAGGTCCACGACTGAGAGAGTGAGGAGGGGGCAGTGTAGGAGGCTTAAGGAGAAGAGAGAAGATCTGCAACAGATGCCATGGGAAGTGCAGCAGTCACTAGGTAGGAGTGAAAGGCCTGGCACGCAGCAGGGAGGACCTTGCTGAGATTCAACAGGAATTTGTAGTTGATTCAGTCAGTCCAGGTGGGTGACTTCCTCCATCATTAGTCAGTGGCAAGTGAACAAGAGTGGAAGATGGTGATGGTGGAGGGAACTTAGGGTGGGCCTTGGGAAGGAAGAAAGGAAGGAAGTGGGAGAGAGAGAAGGAAGGGGGAGGGAGAGAAGGAAGGAAGTAAGGGAGGAGGGAGG